TCACAGACGTACTACCCGTTCAGTGGTTGGTGACCCAAAAATAGCGCTTGGAAACTCTCGAGTCCAACAGGAAGCTCGTTTCCGACCACCAGGCGGTTGTCCAAACCGTTTTAAACCTCTGCATTCAGCGGCCGCTCTTAAAGCGCTCAAACTCGGTTGCCTCATCAGTGGCCATCGCCTGGATCTGTTCAAACCATCGTGCGAAGTTGTTTAGAAATTTCGTTCTGTGAAATGTTTTCCATTTGATTCTCCGGTTGCCTCTGCCACCTTTACTGAGCGTCTTAAATCATACGATACGATTGTCATATCGATCATCGACTTCTGTGCACAAGCTTCCCGGTACCAGGTGTACCGATGCACTTTTTGATGCTCGAAGAAGGTGTTCATAATGAACAATCCGTTGTTTGCAGAAAACCGCAACAACTTCATGCCGTTAATGCTGAGGGTGCTAGGGCCGTTTTTCCCAGTCACGTCTTCCACTTTTCAGCGTCAGCTCTGACGTGCGCATTAAAATCGAACATCACTATGAGGGACTCCGTAGTCGGCACCTCATACAGAGTACCTTTCACTTTCTCAATTAGGGACTCAAATTATCCCTTCCAAATTTGTCGCCTAGACAGCTCTAGTCTTTTGCAGTCTCAGTCGTAGGATTGCCACTCTTCCCTGGCAGGTTTCCATTCAATGATTCTGTCAGTCAGGCTCAGTTCTGCCACAACAACAGCACCAGTCTGAAGGCTGTTCGTACGGTCGATACTTCAGATGAATAGCTTTCACCCGCAGAGGTTCAGAATTCCACAGCGAACGCTCTCCTTTGCGAAGAGAGTCTAAGTCCACTCGGTATTTTGCAGTCTCATCAACTATCTCATGATTTTTCCTACGAGAGGGGAAATTTTCCAAGTTTATACTATGGACTCCCATTCTCGGTATCGTTCTCGTGAAACCTTATCTGGCGTGTTGTAATTGCACTACGCAGTTTGCCTCCCCCGCTCAGAAAGGGTAGCGATTCCACTGCTGACATATATCTTAATGGTCTTCTTGTCGATCCCTCCTGCTACTCCAGCAGCTACCAGAAGGTATGGAGCAGGTTGTGGTTGCAAACTCTCCGCTCTCTGCCAACCTCGGTTCCTCAGCAGCCTGAACGGCCTTTGGTGAGTCGGGCGACGTCCGAGCCGGTATAACTTACAATACTCCTTTTCCTTTCGGTTTGGAATCGGCAATGTATAACGTTACGAGTATTCTGAGGAAATTAAAGCGGGGGCAAAATTCAGTCGATATATCGCCTCTGCAATCGGTCCTAATTTCTACGGGAGAAACTAACAACAGCGCACAGCTTCCGTATTACCAGGTTTCTGTATAGCTAGTTCTCGATCGACTGACCGATTGGGGAGAAACTAGGACATATCTCACAAATGACCATAAGAACGGCAACTTTGTCGGCATGAATATCATTTTTGACATAGGTGTTATTAATCGCCATCGCCCTGTGACCTAAGTTTTGTTGAGGATAAAGAAGAAGGAAAACTAGCAGACCGCCCTATGGAAGCTTCCTTTGAACGATGTTCAAGGTC